AAAACATATGAAAAAACAGCAAAAATTACATATTACTTAAGTTACTTTTTCGGTCGAAACTTGCATGTATTTATTTTTACATTGACTGCCAGTATGCTAACAAGCCATTTGCCATCGTTCTCGCGGTATTTGCAAATATCAAACATGTTAATTTTCTTACATGATTTGATGTTATATTAAGAATATTCTTCGAATAGACAACTGGTTGTAATGTATGATATGTGAAAAACAGCTATAAATTATTCGTCAAAATTAGAATATTTTGTATCAAATTGTTATCTTTAATTTTTTATTGTAACATTTGTTTTTTTGTTTTTGTTCAATATATTATTAAACAAAAAACCTGACTCTTTACGCTTTCCTTTAATGAAAATACTGTGGAGTCAGCTTCTTCTTTCCACTTAATTCAATTGTTTGTACTGGACATTGTAAGCTATTTAGCAAGATAATTTGTTAAACTGTTAAGTTAGAAAAAAACTTTGAAATATCCTTCTAAAGATTGAAAATTTATAAAAGACATTTTTAAGTATTTTCATTCATTGAGTAAAATGAGGAACACGAACCAAATATCGTTTCAGCAACACAATGTATTGATGATGAAACTGTTGATTGTGCCAAGATGAACTCGATCTTCCACATCTGCAATGACACACATCAAGCCAAACTTGTCTGTCCGAAATTCTGCAACTTATGCAAACTTGGTAGGTACACGATACACATTTTTGAGTAGATATATTGAAACAAAACATGTTTCAATATTTTGTGTTCATGTTTGTTATTTGTATGTGTATTTCATAAACACTATTAATGACGGGTTTAAATTGTATATGTGTCAACACCATAAAATAGATCTATGAGAAAAACAGTTACTTGTCATAATGATGAAAAATATCGTATCCTATTATCATCATTCGATTGCAACACATACAACTACTAATGCATACACTACTTTTATATAATATGTGATATGCAGGCTTCATAACCTCAGATCCCCTTTCAAAATTCCATTTTATTTAGTTCCGCCCATTGTTTTCTCGTTTAGGGCACACGCATTTTTTTTACTTTGGTACCATATGCCGCTTTTCATGGAATGGCACTAACGTGTCACATTGAAGGTTCCATGATGACCGCCATATAAACACATCTGCGGGTGTTTCAAAATTCTAAATTTTACCAGTTCATGTAAAATGTTGAATTCTGCTTAAGCCGGTGCTAGGGGGCGTGAACAGTAGTTTGCATTTGACAGTTCCATTCATGAACAGGCTCAATCAAACCAAGCCTGCAACATTTTCAATTTTGCCATGTTGGACTTTCTTTAGGGATTTTTACTTAATTCTATTCAGCCTTACATTTGGCATCATCGGTACATGATATCGTGGTAAACTTGAGTTGATTTAAACAAAGATGGTATAAACACATACACAAACACATTTCTTCAGTCATACATCAAAAGTATTGTCTTTACACGGACGTCACTTTTTTTTGTAAAAATAATATGCAATTATGTACCTACCTACTTACTAGATATTACAGTTATGACAATTTCATTTTATTTATAAATCAGCCATTGTAACAATCCTATTGTAATTCACAATGATGGCGTAATGAAATTCTTTTAAAGAGATAGTTCAATGTAATTGTATTCTTTACGTCTAAAGTTTGGACAAAAATGGCAGTATGAAGATGATATCATTCATTTTAAATTGTGAACAAATATTATAAGAAGTTTTGTTAAATATCTTATTACATATTCAGTTGATGGCATATGGGCAGAATGGTCAAATTGGGGTACATGCTCGCTTAAAAGTGGTGTGTGTACGCAAACGAGATTTCGAACATGCACCAATCCTGCTCCTGTTTTTGGAGGACTTGGTTGTGAAGGAAGGAATACTGAAACCAGAAAATGCTCAATCCATTTTTGTCCTGGTAATACATTTTTCTTAGAATATACTTTTCAATATACTCTATTGCATGTTTGTCTAAAATGTGCAGCTTTTTGGCAAATTTCTCAGTTCGTTTTCTTCTCCTTTCGGTATGCATAATACATAAAATCTCAGTGGGCTGTTTATATTTTGTCTGGAATAATATAAAAAATAAAAAAATTATTATTGAAAATTGTTAATTATGATACATTTGGAACAGTATACCTTGAAATATTTGCAATGTAAGACAAATTCAAATAACCCATTTTGATGAAAACATAATGAATCATGCAATATGCATATGTGTTCAAATTAATTGTTGAGTGTCCGTTGAAAGTATATGCATGATTCAATCACTTTGATAATTAAGTTAAATAAACAAATTGAATTATTTTATTCGAGAAATTATACATATTATACTCGTTTAAGTCATAATATTTGTCCCTATATGCATGCATTGTTGTTTTTGTTGTTGCTCTTTATTTTTCAGGCAACATTTGAAATTTATATTTATGAGATTGCTCTTGAATATTCACAACGTGTTACCTTATCTAAGTAAAGATACGTTTGTCATTATATTATAATAGTTATCTTTTAATTATTCAAATTGATACACAGGAGTATGTGCTGGAAAAGAGTACTTAAATGCAAGTTTAACAAACGTTGCTAAAGGTAAAGGCGTCACATTGAGTTCATTATACGACTCAATTTCTCCGGGATCACTTATGGTAGGTATTTCATTAATCTATGCACTTAGAACTTATTTGCATTTAATTGATTTATTTACTTGTAAAAAATTAATATCTTTAATTAGATTATTAAAATATTTTATAGTAATTTGATAAAAAATCAAGGTATTGATTAACATGTTATTATTTATTAACGTATATTATGTTAATATGTAAATCATCCAATTTATGAATACGATAATAAATTAATTTGTTTTGTATTTTGTTTATTTATAAATATATTCGTTAATTGATTTATCTTACTAAATTAATTTATTGTCTTTTTTAAGTTAAGTTTTAAATTAATTGATACAATATTTCAAGTTTTAGTTCAAATTTAAACTCATGTACTCATGCGCGTTATAGGAAAATGCCACGCAAACTTAATTTGGTGATTCACTAGTATTAAGCATATTTCGTCTTACAAAATCACTCTGATGCAATAAGTATAACTAAATATGGTAACACCAAAACTCTTGAAATCTATTTTGTTACTCTTTATGGCACTGTTCTGTTAAAGATGATAGATGTATCGACTACTGGACCTTATGTTCTGTTCCTCTTACTTTACATTTCATCAGTACTGAGTTATTATACTTATCACAATGTATTACTTTAACAGGTGGATGGAAATCGTGACAGCTCCTGGCCATGTGCTTGCACTTTAAACAGTGATCATCCGTACGCCATTATCGATTTGCAGCATCCGTTTAACATACATTCCATGTACATTGTGAACAGAGGAGACTGTTGTCGTAAATAAGACGAATATATTTTATCATCCGCTTAATTTGAATACAAACAAATTGTTTTTCTAAGTTCAAAAGTACTAAATTTAGGTTGATCTTTAATGTACCTTATATAAGTCACAGTATTTTAAAAGTTATCTTTGGACGGACACGGAATATTTGTGTTTCTTTTTGCTCAAAAAATAATATATTGCTTTCAGCTGAAAGGCTAAATAATTTGGCTGTGTTCGTTGGAAACTCAACATCGAGTTTGAGCCTTGCTGCACAACACCCAGGTCCTATTGGTGCAGACTGTATCTTAGTATTCGATTCAGCAGTACTTGGACGATATGTAAAACTACAAATACAAGGAGTGTCTTATCTTACAATTTGTGAACTCGAAATATATGCTGAATAAAAATGTTCATCCCAAAACTTTATCTTTCCAAATGTTTCTCCATATGATATACTCTCTCACCGCTTCAGGGCGCCAGTTCCGTCAGGGACATTGGGTTATTATATGTGAGGAAGGTACCTAGCTTGATTAATTAATAAATGTCAGACAGACAGTAGTACTACCTAGGAACTCACTCAAGTCTAAAATAATGCATTTAGATTGCTATATCAATTGATTTATAGAAGTAACAAAAGCTGCAGCAGACATATTATTGGTTAATGTCACACCAAAACAATGTTTTAAGAAATTTCAGTTGTTTGAAATACTATGAATTAATAGTAAAAGAATAAATTTATGATATTTATACTGCCAATGAAGTTTCTTTTCTCGTATTGTAATCATTGTAAAATATTGTAGTTACTGATATGTACTGATAACCAACCTGTAAGTAATGAACTAATTGAACTATTACTTTCTGTCTACTGTTTTTCTTTTTGGAAATGACGGATTATTTATTTTTTAAGACCAACCCGTTTTGTATTTATTTTATTCTTATTAAAATTGTTATGAGAAATTGAAACATTTTTCTTAACATTCTTGATGCATTATTCAAACTTACATTACTGCAGGAGTCTGAATCTGATTGAGAAAAAAAAATATCCAAACCAATTTTACTTAATTTGGACTTGGCCTTCCTTCTTAGATCTTTGCTTTTTTTCAAGTCATTAAGCGTAATATGCTCAATATCGACATTTTTACTTGAATCTTCAATAACTGGCTTTTTATTAGACAAATTGATACCTCGTACAATCTCACCTCTTATTTTTTAACGTCCTGTTTCTTATGTTCAATTCGTTTTCTCAATACTTCTGCTTCGGATAACTGCTCCTTTAGAACACGTTCTTCATATTGTAATTATACCAGAATCATTCTTACCACTTTCTCTATTCAATTCTGTATCCCCCTAAAATTCATCATCCTCATAAAAACTGACATTTTGAGCGGATGAGGGCAACAGGATCGCTTGTGTAGTTCCCTCTGAAAACAATTTAATATCTTCCATGTGTTCCTCTGTCCATATGGATTCCTGGTCCTCATCTCCGAATCTGTCATTTAACAATTTATAGCCCAATCTCTTACTTCTAGGAGGCAATAACTTGTTCTTCGCCTGTTCCTTCTCCATTGAATACATCTTAGCCAAAATACAAACTGCTTACTCGGCAAGAAATACAGAATAAAGATATTTCGTATTCAACGAAATAATTACCAAATACGAAAACTCCTCTCGGTTTGCACAATAAGAAATCTGATGAGCAATACACCAGTCCATAAAACAATTAGATTTTCAACTATAAGTTGAACACTGTAAAATAACCTTTCAAAAAACGTTTGGTACATTAGAATCTCAACATGTGATCTACTTGTCAAACAAATACAGAATGAACAAACATTTTAGAGGTGAAAAAGACAAAAATGTTTACTGCCAATGATGTAAGCGACCAAAAGAAAGTTGTTTACTGCCTACGTAATGCATGAACTTAAATCCACTAATGAAAAGTGTTATAGAAGTCAAATTCATTCAACCTTATAATTAAGTTAATTTAGTTCAAAATAAATTAAATTGTTATGACAAATTGAAAATTATTTTCCTTTAATTAAGTTCAGTGTAAACGAAATTATATGTATTTAAGTATACAATTACCAAGATGGTCATCCAGAAAACATTACCACGGGCTGTCTTCTGTTGTTGTTATTGTGAGGTTTTTGTTCCTAACTTTTATTCATCTATTTTCATTTTATTCTAAATATCATTAACATCATTTGTTTCATATTGTTAATATTTTGTTGTCGGAGTAACGGTTTCAACAAACTGACAATATCTGTAAGAGTTAACATAACATTCTTTCCATAGAAAGAAATGGTCCCATTAAATTTCCTTTTAATTTATTCATTTACGGACTATGAAGTAGCATTATTACAGTAAGGTTTCAATATCTGTTTGTTCATCAAAAACAAAAATTAATTCAATTTTTATTTTTTCTGATATTTAAATTGAATTTTTCAATGTAAAAACCATCTTGAGAAGATACGCGTATATGAATAACATAAATCAATATAATTTGATATACTTTGTATCATACTTCATATTTCAATATCTTTCGGCATTTATTTGAACGTTTGCAAACGGTAAAATAATGTTATCTGCGTTATATTCAGCGTTTTCTTGAATATTAAAGATCCTGAATGTAATGATCAAAGTTGCGAACCACACTAAGTGAAATTATAATTATATTATATGTACACTATGTGCAAATAAAACCAATTTTCAAACATCGAAGATATATGTAAAATATGCACTGCAAATTATTTGTGCATATTATATGCAATCTTTAAAAATATATGCATCATTTCATATTGTAAAAATTGATTTTCAACTTAATAGAAAAATAGATTTTTATTACCTCCTCATTATTTACAAAAATGTTATTTTCGGATTTATATTCATAAATGATGCCTTTTTCGAACCTACAAAATTGATAAATCTTTATTTGGCCATCAAATTTATGATTTAAAAAACATTAAACTAAATTGTGTTAACAGGATTTTAAATAGATGATTTTCATAGACATAAAAAGGCAGTTTTATTACACATTTTGTGTAAATTATAATTGCTAAAAGAAACATAACTTGTTTCTGTGAATTTCGCAAAGCATTTTCCAAGCAATATACATGCAAATTGTATAAAAAAAAATTTTCAAAAGTTTTTTTAAAAAAATTTTTTTTTACATGTTTTTAAAATTTTGGTACAAATTAATAAAAATAAACAGAAATTTTGAAAAACAGTTTTTTTCTCGTTTTTTAATTTCCCCTTAATATTGGCTGGGAATTTTACTTAAAAATTTTTTAATTCATCCCACCAATTTTTAAACCAAAGGTTTAAAAAATCCCTGTTGTTTTTTTTTTCCCTTTTCTTTGATAATAAGTCAAAAAAAATATTTTTAAAAAAGTCAAAAGCTAAAATCATTTAAAGTTTTAATAAACATCAAATTTTAAATTTTTTTTTCCACTCCAAACTGTTGGGGATACTTTTAATGGGAAACTTATACCCTTAATTTCTGAATTCTAAAGGACAGTGGGTAGGATAATTTATCCTATTCCCCCTTAAGGGCAGAATTTGGGACACTAAATATAAAAAAACCCCATGTAAAATTTTTGTACTCCCATCCCCTGAAATTAAGACAGAAAAAAAAACGATTTAAAATTCCCATTTTTAAAATAAAAACAATTTTTTTAATCCAGGGCTTTTTTTAAATTATTTTTTAAAAATTCAAAGTTTTCTTTTTTATACTTTAGTTTTCAAAACCCCGAAGAAAGTGAGATAAAATTCAAGAAAAGTAAAAGATAAAATTAAAAACTTTTTCATATACAAAAATAGCTTAAAAAAAACTGAAATTAAATTGCCCCCAAAAAATCGGATAAAATTTTTAAATTAAGGGGGGATGAAAGAACAAAACCTGATTTTTTTACTTTGTTGTCTGAACTAAGCATTTAAACTGGAAATTACTAACAGAAAATTAAGGGTAAGTGACTTTACTTCCCAAAATTTTTTTAAAAACCCTTACTAAACTCTTATTAATGAATATGACATATTAAACTGTTATCAATGAATGTGACACATTCGATTCTTAAGAATGTACGTGATGCACTAAACACATATTAATGGAATTTTGACACAATAAACTCATATGAATGTACCTGATAAACTAAACTCTATAGAATGAAGGTAAAAAACTTTTTTGAAATCACTAAATTTACTTATATTAGCTTTTAATCATATCGTCTTCTTCTAACACTTTAAGGTATTGATATATTAAGAACTAATGATTACGATTTTCATCTCATTGTTCGAGCTGTATACATCTATATGTTATGTCATATATTTACTGAAACCGACTCACAATCAATACTGGAACTACTACAGTATGTTTTTTATCTAGGCTAACTTTGTTTGCAAAATAACGACATGTAGGTGTATGTGTCCATATAATCGTAATTTGTCACGGTTCAGAACTGTTCACTTAATAGGGGAAAAGATGTGTAAGCGGCCGGACAACTCAGTCGGTAGAGCCGCGGAACGGTATTCCGAGGGTACCGGGTTCGAGTCCTAGTCAGGCTGCACATTTTTCTCACACTGTGAAATTAATGTCGTATGGTCCTTTTACATGAAGGGAATGGTTGTTAATGCCTATAAAGGACATAAAAACATACGCCTTGATAATTAAATAAATAACACAAACAATTTCTGGCGAAAACCTTAGAAATATTTATATCAAAGTGCGCATGCGTGAGGTAGCTTTTCCGGGAAGTTTGTAAAAACGGAGGCCCGACATGCATTCATGATGAAATGGAATGATATATGGGATAATGGATTGTATATCGAACTGTAGAGAAACATTAATAACAGACAAGTACACGAGATATATACAAATACAAGGACAAAATGATACATAAAAACGAAATTCATTACATGACACGAATATCGACCACATGACATATTGAATCACTTAAACACTCATTTTTGTCTATTATGTACATGATTATCAACTATATCTAAAACAGATTATCAGAGGGATTAAGAACAAATTTAGTTTTAAAAACCGATGACTGCACTGCACAAAAATGTTGCATGTTAAAATATTTAAAATTAAATAGAAACTTTTCTGTTTATGTTATAAACCTATGCTTGCTTTGTTTTACATTTACTTACTATACCCATAAATAAAACTAACTTAAAAAAACAAATCGCTCGTGGATGTCAGATTGTCTTAACATTTTTTAAACCAGCCTACTTTGATATATCAGCATATTAATACTGTGCCGAATAGCCAAAAAAGGTAAAATGTGTAAGGTAATTTTATAAACGATTCAAACTATTCATTAATATCTCAAATTAAACAATAAAACTGGTCAAACTATTTTCATTATTATCTACCTCCAAACAAAATATCTTGACAATTATGGAGAGCAGACATGATATATGATTTAAATTTTAGACTATTTAATACTTTTTATTTGACCCAAGTACTGTAGACCGATTTTTTATGACACAAAAGCAATCAGCATAAAATGGTGTTAAAC